AGGAGAAAACAAAGCCCACGAGGGGGCAAAACAAGACAGGACTCTGGTGACTAACTAGACAACGACACTGACAAAATACTAGAAAACAAACAACACTTCGAGAGATACTAACAATGACTAGACCTACAATGACTTTCAATGACAAGACTTTCACAAGATACTCACAAGTAACGTTTGGCAATGAACCGACACAAGACAGCAAACACAAGGGGATTAAATAAGGAGACTAATCAAGACATAACAGGTGACACGAGTGAAGCAATAAAGACTGAATCAGGATAACAAGGGGGCGGGGTTAAGAGACGAGACAACACAAGCACATGGCCTTGACAATTGGCCATGCGCTTGTACACAAAACATTGGTTCTGTCATGATCCTGCTACAAGACCAGGAATAATCAATAACATGATGGCAGAATCATGACAGAACCCCCACTTTAAGGAGCGGCTACCAGACGCTCCTCAAAGGGACACTAAGCACAAGACAAGACGGAACGAGACATTGACAAAAACCAACAAAACATGGAAAACACTAAAAGCGGCATACATGAATAAACAATAACAGGGTTAGGGTGAAACATCAAAAACAACATACAAGGCAAAGGAGGTGGAGGAAACACAGAGTTCATGGGGGGTGGTCCAGGGTGGATGGGAGGACTGGGGGTCTTGGGTCCATGGGATGAGGGCTGAGGACAAGAACTCAGGGCAGGTCTGGCGGAAGACACACGAGGACGAGACTTGGGCGGAACAGTCCGGGGTTTCGTGGTGACAGGGGGAACAGTCCGGGGTTTCGTGGTGACAGGGGGAACAGTCCGGGGTTTCGTGGTGACAGGGGGAACAGTCCGGGGACTAGTGACGACAGGGACAAACAGGGAAACAGTCCGGGGGCTGGTGGAGACAGGGACGAACGGGGAAACAGTCCGGGGGCTGGTGGAGACAGGGACGAACGGGGAAACAGTCCGGGGGCTGGTGGAGACAGGGACGAACGGGGAAACAGTCGGGGATGCTGCAGCAACAGACTCAGACACAGGGGACACAGAGGACACGGAGGATGAGGTAACGGGACTTCTGACGGGGGACATGGCAGGTGACGGGGCAGGACTGGGTGCGGCGCTCACGGCGACCGGCTCGGGTGCAGCGCTCACAGGGACAGGCTTGGATGCGGAGGACAAGGCAGGACAGACAGGGGGTTCAAGAATCGCGACAAGACGGGACAGGTAATTAGAAAGGGCCTTGGCCGCAATGATGACCGGCATCTCCTGATGAGCAGAAACAGCTTGCAGAACATCTTTAGCGGCTAGGTCGGCCGCAACTCTCTCCGCAGATCCTGGAACAGCGCTTGCAGTAGCGGGCTCTGGAACAGCGCTTGCAGTAGCGGGCTCTGGAACAGCGCTTGCAGTAGCGGGCTCTGGAACAGCGCTTGCAGTAGCGGGCCCTGAGAGAGACGGAGGGCAAGAGGCTCCCCTCTTCCTCTTCTTCTTCCTGGGTCGCGGAGCAGAGACCGTAGCCGGGCTTGTGACCAGTTGAGGCTGTACAGCCGGGACTGCAGTCTCAGCGGATGAGGACTCCGAAGTCGACTCCCACGACAGCCGTCTCTCTCGTTTGCCACGGAGATCAGCGGGTGCAGATGATGCCTCGGGAGTCGAAGTGGGACGAGTCTGGTCTCCAAGCGTCACGACGCCTAACATACGACCCTCCGGGATCACCGGCAGACAGGCAGGAGGTGACGACACGATGGGACCCTGCGGCTCCTTACGAGACAAACAGTCCACCATGTCCCGGAACGGGCGGTGGACCAACCTCTCCCGTTCAGCCAGAGGAGGCGGAGCTTTGAGACCCGCGATGAGGTAACGGTTGACAAGGATCTCAGGTAAGAAAAACCTCCTTGCTTCCACGGCCTGAGCATATCTCCTCAGAGACCTCTCTCCCTGGGGAGGGAAAGGAAGCTTGCCCATCCTGCTGTCGGTGATAGCTGACTGCCACCATAATTGCTGGTCAGCTGACTGTTGCTTAAGCAGGGAGGACATACTATCTGCTGGGTTCAGTTCTGGTCGGTTCATTCTGTTATGTGGATGCAGATTGACGAACCCAAAAGCAGACTGAATGCTCTTCACACAATTTATTGAAGACAAAAAGGAGAAAACAAAGCCCACGAGGGGGCAAAACAAGACAGGACTCTGGTGACTAACTAGACAACGACACTGACAAAATACTAGAAAACAAACAACACTTCGAGAGATACTAACAATGACTAGACCGACAATGACTTTCAATGACAAGACTTTCACAAGATACTCACAAGTAACGTTTGGCAATGAACCGACACAAGACAGCAAACACAAGGGGATTAAATAAGGAGACTAATCAAGACATAACAGGTGACACGAGTGAAGCAATAAACACTGAATCAGGATAACAAGGGGGCGGGGTTAAGAGACGAGACAACACAAGCACATGGCCTTGACAATTGGCCATGCGCTTGTACACAAAACATTGGTTCTGTCATGATCCTGCTACAAGACCAGGAATAATCAATAACATGATGGCAGAATCATGACACTGTGAAGGCAGGGTTAGTAGAGCAGACCCCTGAGGGCATCGGAAAAGACAGGGCACCGTGTTTTTGTGCAGTGAACTCAGGTCTTTCACGATGGGGACCACCCTCAGAGTCCTGACGTTCAGCACGTCAGGATTTTTTTTTTTCTTTCGATGAAGTAGTATCCTAACTCCCTGCTGGGTGGGGGAACCCGTTCTATAGCCCCTTTTTGCAGCAGAGTTTTTACCTCCTGTTCTAATACCAGAGCCTGCTCGGGGCCCACCACCCCGTTCTTTATAATATTCAGGACCCACTGAGAAACATTGGGAAGCATTTCCCATTCCGCCAGGAACTCTACTAAGGGAACCAGCCTCTCGAGGCTGGCCTCTGGATGAACATCCCGTGTGACAGACACAGCGCCCTGTAACATACTGGCAGGAAACAGCTGGTCTGAGCACTCCACAACCCTCCTTGGAGGGGGCGAGCGTCCCTCGGGAAACCGCTCGCCGAGTCTCTCTACGCCCTGTATAGGCAGGGTTAGTAGAACAGACCCCTGAGGGCATCGAGAAAGACAGGGCACCGTGTTTTTGTGCGGTGAACTCAAGTTTTTCCCGATGGGGACCACCCTCAGAGTCCTGACGTTCAGCCCGTCAGGACTTTTTCGACGCGGCCTTTCTGGCGACAATGACTGTCCTCAGATCAGTCCTGCCCCGAGAAGGCCGCGCCGGAGAGCGCCCCGCCTCGTCCCTCCAGTTTCTCTGCAGGGGGGCACGAGACGTGACACTCCGCTTCTGCTGTGCTCTTTTGGAAGACGAACTCGACGAAAGATTTTGCTCTGGTTGAACATTCTGCGTGACAGACACAGTGCCCTGTAACGGCGCACCAGCAGGGAACGACTGGTCTGAACACACTAGAACCCTCCTTAGAGGCGGCGAGCGTCCCTCGGGAAAGCACTCGCCAGACCCTTCTACGCCCTGTTTCGGCAGGGTTAGTAGGACGGGCCCCTGAGGGCGCCGGGAGAGACAGGGCACCCTTAAGGGAGGTGAACGCAAGTCTCTCTCGGCGGGGACCCCCCTCAGATTTTCCTTTGAGCAAGTCGGCCTGAAAAGCCTGCATAAAAGCCATCGTATGCAAACATGCAGCCGCCTGCCCAGCCACCGAGTAAGCCTTCCCCACCAGCACATGTATATATATATATTTTTTTTGGTGGAAGAGCCGGTGCTTTAAGTGAAGACGATGAAGCAGGAGAGAGATAGCTCGCGAGCGTCTCCTCCGCCTACAGTATCGTCACATAACCAGCAGATTTAGCACCAACAATGTTACCATAAGCATTGGACTGATTTGTGTAAATTCTGCTTGAAACCGGTCTAACCCAGGTCTTTGAAACCTCAGCATGAAGATCTGGGAAGAACGGTAAGCACCGGCGAGAAGGTTGAGGTCGTGCAGACAGAAATCTATCATCTAGTTTGCTTTTAATTCTAGAAACCTGTCTATCAGCTGGCCACTCGATACTGTTTTTTTTTTTCAGCTTTTCAACAGTCCGAGATAACACATCCATCAAACCTTCTTCATTTGCAGTATAATGTGATAAATTAGTTTCCTCTAATGCAAAACTTTCGACATCCAGCTCCTCGCCGCGAGCGCAGAGTTCTCAAGGGAAAACGCTCGCAATGCTGACAATCGACTCCCTCGAGAGCCGACTGGGCATTGCTGCACTCCCAAACAAGCCACACATAGCTCGTGTGAATCCCCACCCGTGATGTACCGAGTACAGGGGGGAACACACTTCTTATACTGCTCGCTCATATTGGTTTTCTTTATATAAAATATATAGTGAAAACTCCTGACAAAACAGACAAACACAATCGACAGATTCAGACACCCACAGAGCTGCTGAAGTAACTAAAGCTGGCGTATTGTGTGCTCAGGGGATATTTATAGCTTCCTGGTCGATGACGTCACTCGCCGTACGCTCATTCTCTCCATTGACTGATTTCATTCATGCTTCAGACGCGTCACGCTGAGGGCGTTCCCACTGCGATTACACGCAGCGGTAGTCCCTGAAGGGGAACACAGTTTTCTCGCTGGAGTGTGGACTGAGAAAACTGAGGTGTTTGAAAGCGATGATGTAAGTTTAGTCATGTGACGCATATTAAACCCATAGATATTGATGTTTATAGCGGTATTGTGCCTGTGCAGTTGCAGAAATCTGTAAGTTCACACACTCTCCACATCTCAGTCCTGCACAGATGACACACTCGCATCTGCTGTCCTGCAGTGAGACATGAGAACAGTTATTAATAATAACTTTATTATTTATATTTATGCTTCTGTGAGGGTTTACACATGCGCAGTGAAGGTGAGGACGGAGAGCGAAAAATCGTTCTCAAAATGTATCCGGATTAATGTAGACATATTTCATCCACCCGTCCGGTTCTCCATCAGTGTGTGTGTGTGTGTTTCAG